GCGACTCGGGGCCATTGTCACCACGGCGGGCCATCTGATAATGTTGGCCTTTAACCACTACATTGGCATTTTGCGACCGCTCCATTATCCGGCCACCGTCACGCACGGCACCGTCACGGTGTTCGTGTTCTTTTTGTGGACACTGCCGCCGACGTTTCTTTTCGCCTACTTCAACATGATACCCTGTCAAGCGTTCCAATCGACGGAATGTCAACAATACGAGTACCAAATACAATATTTAATAGCGTTTTCCATTTGACTGCACTCGTGTACACTGGTATACACTTTTCACCTATTATCACCAGCCATCAGTGCAGTAGATAATGTAAATTCTATACAACGGTATTCGATAACTGTAATCAAATTAACGTTATATTGCGATAATACAACAATTATATTCCACTTCAAATCAAATACCAAGTATATACTTGCGTACATTAATAACTAATTAATAAGTCTATGACTATAAGACCTGGTACACTCGTGGATTATAGTGTCACTAACCGCGTGTAGTGTACACAAATGTAGTTAAATGGAAAACGCTATAGGACTTCTTGATTTGTCTCCCCATATTTTTCTTTTAAACTTTACATTATTATGAATTTTTTTTCAGTTTTTTAAAAGAATCAAGATTCCGGAGCGCGTTTTCAGCGGTACTTTTTGGCGCTTTGACCACCATGGGAATCGTGTACTATCATATATTTCTAATAGTGAAAAAACACCAAGCTACCCGTTCGCTGTACAAACAAAGTGGCAGCGTACATTTTGATAAACCCAATCAAGTAGGTATACTACTTACTACAGTACTTAATCTAAAATGTTTTCGTCACCACTATATATTATTACCTACAACTTAATACTTAAGATTATACAAATTTAAAAATTCTATGTTATTCGGTTTACAATATGCATGATTGAGTGCTCATAATTTATAAATAAAGGATACAGGAAAAAAAATTATTATATTATAGTATTTGTCTGCAATATTACAAATGATTACTATTATTACTATGCATTTCTTAGTTCTGTTTAAGAGATTTTAAAGTTCAAAGTTTTAATTGATCAAAATTAAAAATAAATTTAAAAACATTTTTTTTAAAAGAGTGACTTCTGGTTTTTCCACCATACCCTTTAAATTATTGTAGTACACAAGGTTAAAACAATCAGCAACAACTAAAATTAAGAATTTTAATATTTTTTTTAAATTTAGAAGAAAACAGCCATGATTTTTGTCTAAAGAAATGTTTAGAAGGGAAAATGGAATGTAACTTATTTTTTTTTTTTTTTGTAAAATGTATAATAGAGAAAACTGGTATATCATTTTAGGATGATAATGGTCCGGTTTAAAATTCTAAACATAATTTTAATTTTTTTTTTAATAAATTACAGGCACGCCGACAAACGGAATCACAACAAAGTAAAAACGAAAAGGCTTTATACACGACTTTGATGATTGTCGGTAGCGTTGTGGTCGGATGGATGCCCGCGTGTTTACAATATTACCTGATTTGTAACGACTGTATAATTCCTCCAGATTGGGCCAATTTCACTATGAGATTCTACACATACTTCTTGACAAATTGTTTAGTGATACTTAAATCGGGAATAAATTCGTATATTTACGCGGCCAGAATGCAAGAAATACAAGTAAATGTTTTAACATATACCAAACATACATAACACAGTTGTCAGTTATGTTTTATATTCTGAGCAAACAAAGAATATATTAATTGTACTGTATTTTTTTTCAGTTTTTTCTGACTGAACTTGTCTATTAGTAACCTTGCTCCAATCACCAACTATAGGCAATGGCATATTTAGGAAGGGGCAAGGGGCAAAATTTCGCCAGGCAGCACATTTTTTCAGGCAACTTATATTGGTGGATGGTTTTTTTTTTTTTTTTTTTAATATATTTACAATAATTTAAGGCATTTAAGCAAATTAATGTCAACAAAATGTTCTATCAATATAAACACAACTATTCTGTACTCACAACAAATCTCCACGCCTGATAATATGTGCGTATTGGTTTGTCGAATACCTAAACTAAGCATCTCTTGTGGGCCATGCTGTTAGTACGACATATTTGTTGTCAACAGTGACAGTGTGAGATCAAATTACTGAACGGAGGCCCAGAGAAAGAAGGGGGAAGGAACAGCCATACTCCTGACTCACATAGATCATGTTATTATGATTTAAATCAAATATTTGAGAACTTTTTTTTTTTACTCAAAAGTATAAAAATTAAGTTACATTTTTCTTTTCTTTTTTAGGTAGCAATACGTAAAATGTTCTACACTTTAAAACAGAAAATTTGCGGTGGAAACGACGAAATGGATACAACTGGATTTGATCAATATAAGTACAGTAGAACATCGTCCAAAAGCAGAAGAACAGTAATATGCAGAATATCGGTTCACCAGAAAGTTAATAATAAGGATGAAAATCAATTAGAAATCAGTGAAGATAAAATAAATGATGAACATGAATTAACAAATACAAGGACTTGTACCAAGAAGAATGAAATACCAAATACGATGACTTATCTATAAAAAAAAATTCTCAAACATGCAATGTACAGTTTTGTTTACATTATATAAAATATTTCTACTATTATACTCATTTCTTAATTAATTGTTTGATGTTACCAATTGTAGCTTTTTTTTCTTTTAATATCAATAATTAAATTATTCTAAAATCAATAATATTACTAACCTTCCATCAGTGGCTTCAATAAATGTTGTGTTCAAACCAAGTTCATTGAGACAGTAGAGCATACGGCTTCGCCTTTCCGTTCTTCGAGCTAAGTTGATTACAAAAATGTTATCTAAACCCATATTGTCCATGAGTGTACTTGGTGAAACAAATTCTGATAAATTACTCGAAATTTGTAATGGGTCATTATTGACTAGACAAAATAAATATCAATTAGGTACAATTAATTATATTTATACTTAGGTGTAAATTAAGAAGTACCAGTAATTTCTAATTTTATATTTGTTAACTGGTGAATATCCATTTCTAGTATACTATCTTTTTCGAGCGGTATAGTTATGTAACCATAAATTTCATCATTGCAAATGTGTAATGGAATACCTAATAACAAAAAATGTAAATTTATTAATATTAAGTAATTTATTTTTTTCTACAACAAGAAAAACGACCAGACTCACTAGAAAAATTTGCTGACATGGCAAATATAATGATATCATCTACGGGTCCCATATAATTGGGCACCAAATTGTGTCTAAACGTTAAATTATTAGTGATCTGGAATCTCAGATCTATTAGAACTGAACTGTGTATCATTGGTACTTGATAGCATCCTTTATTCTTCCGTTCTACAATAGGCGCATAATCTGGTGTTCTCTTGTAATAGTAATTTTCTGTCATACCACACCAAAAATTTGAATACAAACCATCAGACTTCAACATTGGAGCGACAACTGGGAATTTTTTTCGAATTAAATGCTTTATAGTTAACTTATTGATTATTAATATGTCACAATCTAAGAACTACACACAAAAAAACAAATATTAAAAACATTTCAAATATGTAATAATTACATATTTATAGTCACTATAATCTACAGTTAGTTATTATTAAATTACCCAAATATAATCTGCCCAACTATCTCGTGCAGCATGCAAAGCAGATTCTCTTAAGTCAACAATATGTTGAAATCTAGAATAAGGCCAATGAGCAGGACCGGTTTCATCGTCATACTTATTGGGTTCGTCGTCTATTTTGACATCGACTGAATGATAAACTGCTCCTGATGTTTCCAACCATTTATTTAAAATTTGAGAAGAATTATCTACATTATGATCACTTCTTATCCTAAAAAATCGAACACATTAAGTTATTAAAGTATTTTTATAAATATAATATATAAATAATACAGTTATACCACACATATTTTGTTTTGACAATGAAGAAACAAAACAATTGTTAGATGTATCAAATTTAAATTTTGTTTAGAAAGTTAAACTTACTAGGCATACAACTATACAACTCTTTATTCAAATAAATATTCGTTCACCCAACTATTATGATATCCAATTTACCTAGTGATGTACTAACAATTACTTAAATCAAATTAAAAACAAAATCATAATTACTTAACTAAATTGAATTTTCTAAATTTTTCCAATTGTTGTACTTGTTTATAGATTACATAAGTAGGTAGACAGTAAAAAAAATATACATATGTTTACTGTGAAATACTGTGAAAGAGATATAAAATGAGAACTAAGCAGATAAGACGTTAGCATAGTAAGAATATTTATCTGATTGAATTAAAAAAATATTTACATTTTGTACATGTATTTCGGTTCAATAATTTTAAAAATGAATAAGAAATAGAAAATAAATGGACAGAATATTCTAAGTACCTAATCACTAAACAAAGATCGAGGTAGGGTCATAAATTCACCAATACAGTGCACACACTAGGTAACGTACACTAACAACAACAAAAATGACTGGCAATCGAACGGTTAGCCTGGATGAATCTGAAGGAAAGTTCCATTCTCCTTGTACTAAGAGAGGACAAAGTGCCAAAAAAAAAACGATTATAAGACACTCACCACAGGTGCATCCGATCCTTGGGGTAGTCAAGCGACTCGAAGGCACTTAAGAAATATGGCAGCATGTGAGCTTTATTCCGAATGAGTATGGCCACGAACACGGTTTCTGACTTCCGATGGTCGTCATCAATTGAACCCGCCAAAGCGACCACCAGTGTCAGCGCCGTCCACAAGACCACAGACATCGCGATCATCATACGAAACCTCTAGATTCGTAAACCTATGATAGGAATTCGAACTGGCCGACTGCCGGTTTCGGAATGGCGCCAATCCGGCGTGAGACGAATCGGCAAGTAAGGGCCGGCCGATCCTGTTGATAATCGAAAGACGTTGATAACGACCGCTGATACTGATAATCATTATCACTACAAAATTTGTGATAACAGCCCCAGATAATAATTGAATAACAACTAACAAAGACTACAGTACTACACCGTGATTAAAGATAATATTAACTCAGTAGTTAAAATGAATTCGACGTATTAAATCTTGTGCTTTGTAAATGACAAATTCGTTTTCGTTTCATTTTCTAATTTCCTTAGTAATTGAATCGTCTAACACACTGCATAGATATGATCCCCGCGTTTACGGTGACTGACAGGTGGTAGTGGTGAACTCCCGAAGACTAAGGAAAAATTTTTGGTGTCTGTGGTTTCAGCAAATAGTATAACAATAATAACAACCACTGTAAAATTATTTTTACAATTGGTAGTCAAATATTGTTTCCGTGTAGCCATCATTTTAATTAAAATGAATATAGTACCGCATCAGATATTCGTCATGAACGCTGAAACATCGCGTTATTATATCGATAACCTATACACACAGGACAACAATAAGTGCTATCAGGCTCTCAATTTCATTAAGAATTCGATCATGGGCAGTAACCGTCAGAAGAATTTGGTCATCGCCAACGGCATACTGCACAGACTTTTACAGGTGATTTTGTAGCTTCCTACTGAACGATAAACATCTAGTTGTCCCATATTATATGAATAAGTAAATGTTTTGTTGTAATACTAGGTATATGACTAGAATTTAGAATAATTTCTCCCCAGGTTTTTTTCATATGTAAATAAATTAAGTAGGACTTAAACACAAATATTCCTGTGTCGATATATATGGCCTTAGGTTTTATAATTTGTATTAATAAAATTAAGCATGGAATTAAAAGTATTTGGTAGATTTTAAACCAATGTTTGTTAAAAATATAGATCCAGTCGTCTATTCTGGTAGATATATTATTTGTATGTATTTTATATAAATGTATATCTTAAGAATAATTTTAACATTTAGATGATATTGAAAACATTACTCATTTTATTATAAAGATCAACTAAAGTTTTTATCAGCACTATATTATAAGGTATTGTACAAATGTCACAAAGCCAAATACCTCATATATATTTGATTATTTTAATTGTACTTGATGACATAAGATTTTAATCTTAACTGGATGAATGTACCCATGTTATAATTAACATTGCATTATATACTTATGTACAATATTAATCAATTAAAGTTCGTAATTTATATCATATTTTTTTTGCGATTTCACATTTGATGACAAAATATAACCAAAAGCTCAATGTAGCAAAATGTTATCTTATTTATCACACAAACAATAAAATTATAAATAATCTAATATGTTAGGCTTCAAAGTATCAACATATGACACATATTTTATAGATTCTATGTCATTAAGAATTATCTTATAGATTTTTGATACTATCCAAAAGATCTTGGTTAATTTTAATAATACCTATGGTACATATAAATAAATTACCAATTAGCCAGGTATTTTATTACCTAATAAGCAATTACTCTAGATCCAAAGTTATTGCACATAACACCTACAAAATGTATTACAATATTGCTGTACAAATTACCCACAAGTATATTCAATTAAACATAAATACATCTCAAAATCACTAATTAGTTTTGTGAAAATATGGATTTTTATAGGTATTACCCGACCAATCCAAAACACCAGAGATCCGTCTAGAAACCGTAATAATACTAGGTTCTTTAGCCAAAGGGACTGAAGACCAAGTAAGGACCCTGGTAAATGCCAACGTCGTGTCATTCATTTTAAATGCTTTCTTGTTACACGACGAACCTAAATTCATTGAAGCGTGTCTCCGTTGTATATGCACTATTATGCAGTATCCATTTATCGATCATTCTGTAGTCTTCAACGACGTAGCCATCATAAAAAAATTAGCCCAAACCATCGAAGATTCGATTAGCAATAGTATATGTAGCATGTCCATACTGTCTCAAGCTTGTTGCACTACCGTTCATCAAAATATATTATGGACTGAAGGAATCGGTTTCACTTTTGCCAATCTACTGAACACTGAACTGGACGACCTGTCTGTCGCCACACTCAAGTGTTTTGCTCGTATGTGTCAAGACAACACATCGATTTCTTCGGCTTTGATAGCAATTGAGTGCAATGGAAAGACTATGCCGGAAATTTTGTATTCTATGCGAGGTGGTGATCGACCAACGGGTATGCGATTAGTGGCTTCAAAATGTATCACTTGTCTTTATAGAGCTGGTGCACTGGAAGTGAATGATCCAAAAGTAATGTTTGGAGCGTTGCCCACACTTGTGCGTCTATGTCAGAACGATCAAAAATGGGAAGACCGAGTTGAAGCTGCCGAAATTCTGGCTGTACTCATTGAGGACGATGCCGAACTACAGTCGTTAGCAAGTATATCAAATCATTTGTTACAAACACTGGCCGAGTTTGTGAACTATCCCATACAACCGATAGGCCAATACAATAATACGTTTTTCGAACTTAGATCTAAAGAAATGAAACAAGCCGCCTTTAAAGTAAAGTCAATTATTTTTTATACATACATTTATATATATATATATGTAATCAAAACAAATAAAACACTATTTTCATAGTAAAATTCATATTTGTTTGTGTTTTACAGGTGTTTGCGTCTCTTGGTGCCAATGATGAAGAAATCCGCAAAAAAATTATCGAGACCGATAATTTAGTTGATCATATTGTAATGGGCTTAAAAGATCACAGTCCCAAAGTACAATTGGCTGCAGTGCGCTGTCTACATTCTCTATCACGTTCTGTACAACAACTGCGGACGACTTTCCAAGATCATTCGGTCTGGAAACCGCTGATGGCATTGTTGGAAGGCGCCTCAAAAGAAATTTTGAGTGTTACATCGTCAACACTGTGCAATCTTCTTTTGGACTTCTCGCCATCCAAAGAACCTATTCTTGAGTCTGGAGCCATAGAACTATTTTGCAGCCTGACTAAACGGAGTGATCCTTCATTACGACTCAATGGAATATGGGCACTCATGAACATGGCCTTCCAGGCAGAACAGAAAATTAAATCACAGATTTTGAGCACACTAGGCACGGTACAGATGTTTAACCTGTTAACCGACTCACACGTCAATGTACAAATGAAGACATTGGGGCTGTTAAGGAATCTGTTATCGACAAAACCGCACATTGATTACATAATGAATCTGAGTGGGGACGACATAATTGAAGCTGTCATGATGATACTCAAAAACGACAATTTGCCCGAAATCAAGGAACAAGCGCTGTGTATATTGGGCAACATTGCTGATGGCGATATAGCCAAAGACTATATTATGAAAAATAATGTTATACTGATGAAGATACAAGAATACATGACAAACGAAAATTCAAAACTGCAGGCATCAGCAATATTTTGCATTTCAAACCTTGTGTGGAAGGATGAAATAGGATCAGCTGACCGACAAGCTAAAATTAAAGAAATGGGTATTTTGGAACTATTGCAACAACTGATTACGACTTCAGACTCTCTGATATTTGACAAGGTGAAAACTGCGTTAACACAGTTTTCAGACTCTTGACAGACATCTAGTTACAACTTGCCCCCTTCTGTTGGTGTGTAAGTAGAATTATGTTCACGTTTCTTCCTAATGTAAAATAAAACTATAACAATCGATAGTAATTCATATTCTCACATCAAAATTGATTATGATTTTGTGTTGTATATTTAATAAAATAAAAGAGAAGGATACAATTAGTATAATATTATGTAATGTTTAACTAATTATTATATTTTAAAAATTTAAATATGTTAAATGTCTGGTGTTTTATTTGTCAAGACTTTTTTTCGCTAGTATTTCTATATTTTCATGAACTTATAGTAATATAATGGTATATACTTTACATATTTTGTTTGATACTTATTACTCATATATTATTTATTACTTTATTGATCCTATTTTTAAAAAAAATATTTTCTATAAATATAATGTGCAATTTTGGGCCTAATTATTTTACAACCTAACCAGATTATTCAATGTATGATCAATGAAATTATTTGAATTAAAACCATATTATATCCCCTACTCTAAGTTGGAAAGGTATAATATTTAAGATAATTTAGTTTGTATACTGTATTAAACAAATCATTACAAACAAAAAATTATTCTTAGTTAAATTCAGTTAAACATAATTTTTGATACATTTAAATTGAAAATTTTACTAACTACAAAATAAATTACTGTGTTGAAACAAATTGCATCAACAATTTTCCCTTATAAAACATCATAATATTTCAAAAATTATACATATATACATCTATATAATACTTTCATTGGAAAAAAATGACCTCAATTAAAATCATCCTTAATTAACAATATTTTGTAATTTTAATGAATTATATATCTTTAAATGGTGTAAAATCAAAAGCGATATTTTTGTCTTCTTTTTTTAATGTTAGCAATTTAAATACTTTCAGAATTATTAGCAACAATGGTAATTTTAATAAAAATTGCATTATCTTGAACTTCTAAAATAAATGGTCCTGAAAATATGTAAAATAAATAACGAAAATAATATGTAATAAAAATAAATAATTTAATATTATAACTTTAATTAATTAGAGATAAACAATTATATATGAGTTACATATAAGCTTATTAAAAAAAATATAAATACACTTAACTGATTAGAATAGAATTAAACTTTAAAAATAGTTTTACATTATACAATAGTAATATTATTAAAATAAAACGATTAAATTAAAATTCTGAGTCAAAAGTTCTATTATAAAAGAGGAATGAGTAAGGCAATGAATGAACAAATAAATAATAATATCCAAAATTTATTTCAACAAGTGGGATTTGTATGGAAAAGTCTGAATTTTACATGCACACAGCTCTAATCTGAGACTCCTATAAGAATATTCAGTATTGATTATCATGAATGGCTATATTATAGAGCCATTGTCAAAAACAACACAGAAATACAATATGCAGCACTTTGAGCACTATAGATAGTAAATATTGGAACTTCATAAAATGTAATTAATTAATAATAATAAATATAAATTATTGTATTTTTAATAAGTAAAAAAAAAATATATATATATTTATAACGCATAAATAAATAATGAAACCTTTTTAATTTTCTTAATGTTGACCCCTGTTGTGGAATAGGGCTACATCATTGTTCCAAAAACTGGATTGTGTCGACATATACTTGGCCCATATTCTTCATAGTCCTTTTTTGAATGACAAACAGTATAAAACTCGGGCTAAACAAGTAAATATAATTTTCATTAAAATAATAATAAATTTTATTAAAAATATATGTACCGAAGAAGCCAACATGCTACCGCCAAACCAAACAGCATATCTCTGCATATTGTGCGTATATACTTGAACATCAATAGGTTTAGGCTGCAAAAAAAAATATCAGTCATTATAGGTATTAAATTTGAATATTTTGTTTCATATTAAAAGTATTTATATTTATTTTTAATATTTTTCAACAGTGATACTTCCTTTATGTCACTCAAAATATCTTAAATATTCAAACACTCTTTTATATAAAAAAATTTAAGAAAATAATTGTGTCTTTATAAAAACTACATTTGATTACAAACTTATACATTATATTTAATCATAATTTTAATACAATTGAGTTGTTTATTAATCACTATTATGGTGTATCTAAACAAGGTCACATTCTTGGAAAATAAATCTTATCAATTTTGAATTGAAATATTCAGTTTATTCTAATGTTACTAAAATTATCATAAGAAGTTTACTATGTTTTTTTAAATTTAATTTATAGCATAACATATCTATTGAACTACAATTTGATTTCAGAGAATGTTACTAGACATTAATTACATATAATTCTCTGAAAAGCAAAAAAAAATATGACCTTCCCAATGCACCTGAGACAATTTCCTTTCAAAAAGTACTACACTCTAAACATCAGAGCAACATTACTGGAAAAAAGTTGTATACAGACAGAAAAAATAAAAACAAACATAGTAAAACCGATAAATTCCTCGTATGCTCCGGAAAAATATATATTTAAGAAATAACTGAAGTAGTTAAGTTCTAATTGAATTTTGTAAAAAGTTAAAATGCTAGAAATAAAAATAAGCAATTTTTTTTTTCTTTACATTTATAATAGATTATTATCTATTTAATAGAGAATAGTATTAAATATACAAATATGAAAAATAAAATAGTATAATGATATAAAATACTTTTAAATTGTCTCCAGCAATTTTTTCACTACGTTTTAATCTTGCATCTACTACTCGTTTGATGTCTCTTTGAAGACGTCTACCAAAATCTTTAAACATAGTTGAGCCACCAGACAATACAATATTGTCATACAAAGGTCGACGCACATCAATCGGGCAATTTTGTATAACTGTGTCAACCATTTCAGAAATAGGAGTAGTAAAATCTGGATTTGAAAACTGCAAAATAATATACTAATGTAATTTATTTTAAATCAATATAGCTCAGTTAAATTAAATGGAAAATAGGTTTCAGTTCAAAAAAATATTTTACCATGACAAATCATAGCAAACATCATTATCTAAACAAATTTAAAATTAATTTTTCAATAACTAGGCAAACAGAAATATGTATTTGCATACTTTTATTGGTTAGTCAAAAAAAGCTAGTTAATAACTAAATGCATTTCATGACCTAACGAGTCCATGTACAAAATTGTATGATTCATATTTTTTAATGTTTTGGTACTTTAGGATATTTAGGTAATTTTTTGTGATTAAAGCATATTTTAAGGATTTAGTACAATTTAAGATAATATTTAGCATTTTGTAAATTATCAAGAAATTTTGAACTCAATAAATTAAGAATCACAAGCAATTTTAAAATATCATCATTCAGCAGGTGAGCTAATAATGATACATTTTATAGTATATAGGTTAGATGTTTTAGAAAAAATATTATTTACTTGTCATTCAGTGTTTCATTTTATTTAAGTAAACACTCCATTCATGGTTTATGATTTATACTCGTACAATTAAATTGATGAACTTTAAATTTATATATATTTTTTTTTATTATATAATACAAAAGAGAAATTAAAATATTAATAATGCACCAATTGTTAATAGTTATATTAGTTAATTAACAGTATACTAAATTAAATATATATATATATATAACCTTATATTATAATTAAAATAAATGTTTTTTTTTTTTTTTTTAAGAGCATATTTTGATAATTTTTATGGCATAACTGCATACATATTTACTAGATTTGTATTATGGCATATTTCTGTCTCTTTTATCTACAACTTATTATTGTGTAATCAGTAAAAATTGAGATATTTACGAAAAGCTCATTTTTGTAAACTTTACCCTTGAAAAAATGTCAAAGCACACATAATATCTATAGACATAAATAATAAAAAATTGTGTTCCAAAAATATATGATAAAAATTTGCTTAATACTAATTTTTCCAACTTTATAACAAATTTTTATTTGACTAAGCTAATATAAAATATATATATATATAACTCACTTCAGGGTGGAAGAAAATTTCCGGCCCTAAAAATCTTTCATATCCAACATCCACAGAAAACGGCTGTTTAGTAACACTATTAATACCATCATATTTTCTCAACCATTTTGATGGCTCTGAATCATACTTGGCGAATTCTTTGGCAATGTCCGGACAAATATAAGAGTAACGTTCCTTGATTGCTTTAGCCGTCTCCAAACTTTGTTCTGGTGGAATACCGATTTCTCTTTCTCTTAACAACGACTGAATGAAATATGTTATATTCCGACCAGCAATTGGTATGTGTTTAATACAACTTCCAATCACATATCCTTCAGCCTATATTAATAAAAATATAAAATAAAACATATTTTTTCCTTTTTCAATAGGTTATGCAATTGTATTTTAAAAATGCTCTCTTATGATTTGATAAGGTGCAAACTGTAATTGTATTCGCACAGTAAGGTGATGCTTAAAATTTAACTTAAAAAATTGGAGTATCTTGTCAATGTATTCTACATGATATTTATTAGATTTAGAAACAATCAAAATAAATCCATTATGTCGTAAGGGTTAAATTACCTAGCTATATAAAATACATAATGAAATTGTTACACATAATTTAACAAAATAGTAAAACCAGTGACTAATTAATTTAAAAATTATGATTTTAATTTTATTTAAGTCAAGAATTATGAGTAAAGTGGTTTCTAACCTATTTATGATATCACTTGAGACACTTTCGCTCATATGTAGTTATAAAATAAGGTATTTCTTTTTAGTGTGTAAAACTGACTAACAGTTTTTTAACAATGAATCATATAAAAAAATAATATATTAATGATGATAATAAATATGAATAGGCTAAAAAAAAACCCCAACCGCAGCAGAGATTGGTCATTATAATCAATTTTTCCTCCATTTATTTTGTATCAAAGAAATAATCTTAGCAAAATAATTAAAAAAAACCAATCACTATAATAACACAATAATACAATTATTCTATTATGGTATTCCTAAAAAAAAATAGAGAAATTTGATCATAGAATTGATATGAATGGGGTGGTAAGTTTATACCCTAAAAAAGCATATTCTCGATACTAACGAAATGCATACAAAATGCATTGTATACACAACATCATCTCTCGGGCTTCATTTGGGGAGTTTGTGAGAAAGTACAAAGCTAAAATAAAAAATCTTTCACCTACTACAGAATTAAATTTATAGTAAAATTCAATCCAACATTTACCACTTCAATCTGCTTAAAAATTACTCTTATTCCCTAATTAGAACTTATTTGGTCTAGAGGAAGTAACTGTAAATGTCTAAATGAAACAGGAAAGATATGTATTTATTCAAGAAATATTTAACAAGATGAACAAATAATTAATTTAAAACTTCACATAATAACACCAACAAACAAATTTATTAATAGTTGTTTAATGGTTTCATTGAAACTAATAAAAAATTGTACCACAATAGTAATTTAAATAACAATATACTTACTACTGGAATAATATGAGTTACACCGTCACCACTATCTACTACAAGTCCTGTTAGTATGCGTTCATGAAGAGGTCGTGATTTCCATGAAGCGGACAATGCCAACACAGCTTGTACAGCAATATAAAGACCGGGCACGTTAAAAGTTTCAAACATTATTTCTAAGAAAAATACTCCAAATTAATTCCACTATCAAAGTTTAAGAAAAAATTGCAAAATCCTAGTTACAGTGATAAATAAATTGTAGAATATGAAAAATATGTTATAATAAAAAATAAAAACAAGAATATTATATAATTTACTCACCAGCTGTATATTCACGGTTTTCTGGAGTATTTAAAGGTGGTTCTGTTAGTAAGAAGTGATGATCTTCGGGCTCAGCTCGCAGATATTTAAAAATACAGTGCTCCAAAAACCTTTCCATCAAATCCCAGTCTTCGATCAAACCATGCCTTACCGGATACTATAAAATTTTATATGAATCAAAAATATTATAGTTTTATATTTTCATAAGCAAAATCTATTAAAATAGGTAATACTTTGATGGAATAACCCTTGGCATCCATTGCCTCGTCTCCAATATAGAAATCTAAATCTTCCACGCCCTTTGTTAATCGTCTAACTGCCTGATCGCCGACTTTAGCCGTCTCCTTGATAGCAATTGCTGAAGGTATAATCATCTGCGGCTCTTTGTTTGGTGCAAAACCCAATTTCGTATATCTGAGTTGACACAAACATCGTTCAATATTAAATTAGCCAAAATACCCGCGAGATTAAACAGTCCTTATGTCGGGGGATAGACAAAAAAAACTTACCCAGTGCCCACGTCGATGACGCATGGTGGAAGTCTTCCCAACATGTTGGCTACAGTTAAATTGAACAACTCAATATAGTAAGGATAGTGAAAAATTTAAAAAAACATTTAACTTAAAACTGGAAAATATGAAAGCTATTCGATTGACTCATTTACGTATAAAATCTGTGATTATCATTTATCATGATGCCGAACGTGAGTCATTACCACGATTAAAGATATCTCTTGAACCATGGTCATTATAGATAAGGATTTTGTTCAGGCTTTATTTTCCGTACGATGTAATCTACATCATAATTTTCCAATATTGCAATTGGTTTTTAAATTATTTTAAGACTATCCTGTGGCAATAAAACCTTGTTTATAAATTTGCAACCCCCACCCCCTATAAATTAATTAGAATAACTCTTCATTCAAATTTTCAGAAAAATTATCCATGGTCCCTAACATGGAAGAGAAACAAAATTGATTGAATTGTTATCAAAAAAAGATATCATTATCATATGTTATCTCACGTTTAAATCAAGTAATTACTTCAATTATTATTGAAATGTCTGGTGAATTTCCTTAGATCTCGAAATTTTATATTTTGTTATTAAAAATTAGCCTGGTATAAAAAATAAACAATTTTTATTGAGAAATCCGTATCCATCGTCGTGTCTGAAGAATGAATGAACCTTCGACCAGCACCGATTCCTGTCAGAAATTATTGTATTCTATACATAACTATTCTAGTTGCCTGCCGACCTATCCACCAGAGTAAGAATAGCTCTGATTGCTTATAATTAAACAAACAAATAACACGTAAACGCGTGTACTTTTTTGTCAATATTATTATGCTTGAGAATGTATTTTTTTAATGGTTTCATTGGTAGGTGCCTAATCGGTTACCATTTAACAAATAATTGTATGAACTTAAATAAATCATATAAATAATATTTTATAATAATAATAATTTAAATTAAATCATTTAATTAATCTCAATGATAGTAACTATGCATTCAAAACTAAACCATAAATCAATAAACCTTACGAAAATGTTCCATTATTTTTAAAACAATCTGACAAATTGTAGTGTTCACTCTATGAAATAAATAAATATTTATTACCATAGGTATGTCTACTGGTTAAAGTAATATTATTCTGTTTCTAAAACTGTAAATTTATTTTTACAATATCATTTAAACTCAATTTATATTTAAATGTTATTAGTGTATCTTACCTTAATATTGTTTTTCTAATGACCTTGAAGATGGCATACAAAAATATAGGTACAATTATCATATGTAATTTGTTTACAATACTTAATTAATTTTGTTTAATTGGCTTGATAAGTTCTAACATTTAGAAATAATCATATCAATGATATCAGTATATGTTACAAAAAAATAAAAATGTTCCATAAAGTGGAAAATTTTAATAGAGTTCATTGAAATTAATGCATTTGCATGTTTAGTACCTAATTTTTTAAATTTTCGAAGTACTGAATGTGAGTACATTAAATGCATAAAATATTTACCTCAACAACACTGAGTTTTATCAATTTATGTAAAAAAAAATGATTATTGAAATGATTGTAACATACACCGATCTAATAATAAGTCTTCAATTGTAAACTTGAAGTACAAAAGTCAGACTTTTATACCTAAAACCTACCAAAATGTGTGTCTAGAATATAATATATTTTTTTTTTAATAATTTTATTAAACCCAAGAAGTTTTATTCATATTATTAATGAATAAAATATATACAGAAAACATAGTATTATACAAAATGTAGGGATTTTATATGTTTTATCAAAATATGAACCTAAAATACTTAAACAAAAATAAAAAAACTGATTTTACTCAACCTAATCTAAAATTAATAAGCCCACTAATGATATTGTTGCCGAACATTTAAATTTGAAATCAATTTTTTCTTTTTTGTACAACCACCTATTGAACTACTTTTTTTTTTTTTTAATAATTACAGAAACATTTTATTTAATAAGCAAGAAGATCAAAGTTCCCGTTGGTCATCAATGTCCAATACTCCACCACAAGTAAAATTTAGACACAACCATATTTTATTTTATCAATTTTTCCTAATTAAAATTGTATTATAGTTTATAATCTTGAAACTACAAAATATTTCTATTGTTAAGTACATAAAATTTGGAAAATATGACCGGCCACACGTATGTAATTTAAAAAAGTTCAAAGTTTACGGTGGATTAGAAGATGATACAAAAATAGAATTGCTCTATAGGTAATAATTAAAAACTTATATGATATATTATTTTATTATACCATTTATATTTTACCTATTATACCAAACCTTTTTTATTTTATTTGTCATATGGCTTTGTTGCAGCGGTCTCAGTAACAATACTGAATTAGAAACATTTAATTTACGTCACACTTTAGACAATAGTTCTATGATACCTGTGCGTTATATTAAATTGGAACCTCTTGAATCTTGGGGTTCAAATTTTAATTATAGCCTTTGGTACGTTGAGTTGCACGGCATTGATGAACCTAATATTGTGGCTAACGAAATAACAAAATTCTATCAAGTAAGATCTTAAACTAATCATAATGTTCAATTTTTAAACATGGTATAATTATATATTACTAGTTCCGTGAAGAATTATTAATCAAGTTATGTCTTAAGCATTTTCGTCGAAATCATTATGACTTTGCTACGAATGCTCTCTTGCACAATTCTTATGTTACTCTAGAACATCCGTTTTTATCACAACTATATGAAACAATAGTGATAAATGGTAATTATGAAATGGCAGAAACCATAATGGATCAAGCTATAAACGGTAAATTATTTAAATGAAACCACAGTCTGTTGTTAACTTGTAATATTGTTCTTCCAGAGGGTTTATTGGAAAGTTATATTGATAGTCAAAGTTTCAAACCTATTTGGAAGTTAGTTAAAGAATACAACAACGAAGGTAAAAAGAGACCATGTATGCGTGGTGGTCATCAGATGTGTATGGATTCGGCTAACGGCATGTTGTACTTGCTTGGAGGTTGGGATGGACATAAAGATTTATCTGATCTATGGAGCTTTAACATTACGACTAATACATGGCATTGTGTTGCAGCTAACGTAGAAGAACAAGTAATATAAATTATTTATTTATTTTTATCAGTAAATATCAGAGCCCAAATAATTAAACTTTATTTTACAGGGTGGACCAAGTCCTAGATCATGTCACAAGATGTGTATAGACGAAGAAAGAAAACACATTTTTGTATTAGGAAGATATTGTGAAATTCAATCATTTATTGGTGACTACCCTCAGGTGTTATATGTATTTTAATTTTTACATAAATATAGATTGTTTTTCTATTACCATATTAAATTTATTTTTGTTTACAGAGTGACTTTTACGTTTATGACATTGAACAGAATATTTGGACTTTAATATGTGCAGACACAAATGTGATGGGTGGACCAAAATTATTATTTGATCATCAAATGGTTATGGATTCCATATCGTCTACTATTTATATATTTGGTGGTCGTGTTGTTTCGTCTCCTTCCAGGTAAGCATTAAACTCTAGCCCATTATATTTATTAAACTTTACTTAAAAGAAAAAAAAAGGATAAATAAACAATTATTATTATGTTTTAGATGCAGTAATTCTGAATCCCAAAAAAATAATCCTGATTTTTCAGGGTTTTATAAATACCATGTCCCAACTAATACCTGGACATGTATTTTACCTGACACATTCTACGAGATCAAAGTCCGAGATGGACTTCTGACACACAACCCACAGACAATAGCATCACGTGGTGGACATTGTATTTTATTGCATTCGGTTTGTTATTTATATTTATAGTCTATATTTATATTTTTACTAATTATGTTATTTTGATCTTCAGAAAATGAGACGGATTTATATATTTGGAGGGCAACGACAGAGATGGGCACAAAATGATCCAGAATTCTTATGGTATGACATTGAAACAGGAGTAACACAACCTATGCCATTGCCGTCCACCAGTGATAAGCCTCCTATGGGCTACACACAACGTGCTACTATTGACATCGAACATGATGAAATATATATATTATCTGTAAGAAAATATTGTTTATTTAATCTGTCTAATACAGGCTATTTAAATGAACTAATCATTTTTTGTATTTATTTTTTATTTAATTATAAATGAAGAGTCTTAGCAGAGATAAGGAACGCAAAGAAGATAAAGTTCAAAATGCATTTTGGGTGTATTTCATAAAACAAAACAAATGGTAATATTTGTATATATTTTTTTTTTGTACTGTTGATTTATTGTTTAAGATTTTGAAAGAAGCAAGGAATATATTTTTTTTACTATTGGTATGTTATTATGTTCATATGATGGCAAATATGGTTCAAAACTAAAATGTATTCCTATAATATAAACTCCAAATTTAAAAACATCAAATCATTTCAAAACTAAAACTATTGCGCTATGTAGTTTAAGACATTAAAACTGTTTTAAAAGGTTAAAATAGTTAAGCAAATAACCATATAAATATGCGTTTTTTTGAAACCTAACCAAGCTTTTATCAGTTTTTGTTTTTACGATACATATCATATTATGTATTGACTTAAATTAAAATTCATAATAAATCATATCTTGATTTCTTATTTTATATTCCCTAAAATACTTATGTTAAAATATATTTTATTCAGTTTTAACAAGATAACAAAATTATTTATATTATTTAATATTTAATTATATATAAAACATTTTTGTTCAAAAAATGTATTGCCAAAGTATTAATAAGTTTTATTTATATTTAATCATTGTTTAGTTACAAAAAATATGTACACACTTGTTTGATATATAACAACTATGTTTATTTTAATTTTAAAATGTATATTGTTCCTTTTTAAAGTTGTTTTATGTGATCTATTATATACAATTTTTCATCAACAACCTGATAATGACTTAAGTCAAAACTAAGTAGTTGTGTAAATAAAATTTATTAACACTTTATGTCAATATATTTTTTAAACAAAATATTTTTATATATATAGAAATGCTGGAAAATGTATTAAAAACACAAAACAATTATTGGACTTTGCTTTGTTGTTACAAATTAATACAATTTTCAATTAAAATTTAGCAAAAATAAATACTCTGAACTAAGCTCAGAATTTTTTTTATTTGTAAAGATTTGTGACTGCAAAGTACATACTTTATATAAAATAAAAATCCTTATATTTCTTACTTTCTACAATAGTCGCCTCCTACTTACTAACAATATTCTGTACAAGGTGTTTAACAATAGACAAAATCCTCAAAATGGACAGTGTTTTTTTAAATTAATTATATCATACAATAGATTGTGTTTTATAATGTATAATATTAAATTAGTTAAACTTCATAACCCATTTAATATATGTACATTTAATTTTTCCCACAGGATGTGTATCTATAAAAATCATAACTCGGATGAAAAATATTGGAATAAAATGCAACACTTAGAACCGTGTCCTCGTTTTGCATATCAATTAGTATACGATCAAAAAAATAAGGTAGCTCAATTCTTTGAGTATTCAAATATTCAACAGTTCCATTTATTTTTAATGAAACTTAATTTTATTTAGACACACTATTTATTTGGAGGAAATCCTGGGAAAGCTGATGCTCAGAATTTAAGACTGGATGATTTTTGGGAACTCAAAGTTTACAGATGTACAAACCATGAACTTAGCTGCCGGTGTAAACTGTTGATCCGTAAAATTAGGTAAGTGTTGATATGGTGTCTGTATTAATAAATTATCTGTACAAATTTGTTATTTTGGTGTGTAGGTTCCAAGAAATGAAAACAAAAGATAAAGTAGCTGCCATGAAGTTCTTACAAACATCTGTATCGGAATTAGTTGATCACACTGATGTAGAGCAAACTCGAGATGTAAGTAAAAATTAAATTTAATTAGAATATTTATGTTAGAACATCTTATAAATTATTAAAATATAGTTTCAGGCAACTGCTACTTTGCTGTTCAAAGATGACAACCAATTAGACGATATTAATAAGCAAATTCACGAGTGGCGTTATAGTTTGTTTGAGAAGTTATGTGATTATTTTCCTAAATCAATGATTCAACCCAAAGAAGATTTAATCAACCTAATTCCTCTATAAATTGATAAGTACACCTAAACATATGTTTTGTTTATTATTTGGTTCCTTTATACTCGCATTATTAATTTTTATAATTTTAACACTGTAATTAAGTAGAAATATTGTAAACGAAAATATGATTTATTTTCAATATCATTTGTATTGTTATTTTATTATTGTACATTTTTTCTTTTAATTACAAACGAAACAACAATTTTTAAATTCTCTAAGACATTCATGTGCAATAATTATTAATTATACCCTGGTGTAGTTAAAAAGACACTACATACCCAATTATTAAGAATTTATTGCTAGGCATTTTTAATGAAATTTAAGAAAAAATTTTAATTTTTTTACTTCAATATATTCAAACTCTCTTTTAAATAATTTTAGATTCTGAACGAAGCAAGTAATGTATTGGTTTTACAGTGTTTATTTTTTTTTTTTTATATATATGTAAACAACTTTTCTACCAAAAATATTGCTCAGATTTTTAAGTGTAGCACTTTTTCTGAAAGAAAATTTTATCTGGGTGGTACTTTAGGAATGTTATTTATATTTTCTAAGCAGTTTTCATAATAATTGGGAAAAAATTTGAGAAAACAAGAAAATGTATGAAATGTATTAAATATTTTGTTTTTTTTTTTGAGATTCAGCTAGAAATATTTGTACAAACTTGAAATTTGGACAGAAAACTTAAATTTTCCTTTTCTAAACGTGATAAAATGTTAAATATATTTTAGCTATTTATAGACATTTTAATTTTGCGAGTTTTTTACATAATTTTTATTCGGTAATTACTTTGTGGAAAAAATTATTGAACCAAACAAAAATGCTTCAAAATTTAACAGAAGGTTGCACTTTATAATCAAAAAAAAAAATTGAGTGTGATGTAGAATTTGAATAAAAATTTGAATATCAAATATTTTGATGAAAATCATAAATATCAAATCTTTTTAAAACATGTATAACCAAACTCCGCCCAAAATCCTTTTTTGTTACGTAGATATATGTATATATATATATATATATAATTCTTCTCTATAATTTCCTACCCTCCTAACTTCTTACCTGCAACAGTGGCCCACCCATTGTGCAGAGTATGTCCATCTTTTTTTTTTTGTTGACCTGTGTCATTATCACAAGTATTTAATATGTTAATATGATCATGAAATTTGATTAAAACATTACTGTTTTACATGAACATAAAATACACTGACTACATTTAAAATAAATACATAGCTATTTTCACTTTATGCTGAACTTTATCTGTGATAAACCTTTTTTATTTGTTTTTTTTTTTTTCAAAATGACTCAATTTTATTATATAAAAATGTTTACTGATAATTTAAATACTTTATTATATATAGTTGGAGGGTTTACACCTGTTTACAAATTTTGAAATAAGCATTTGACAAACTTAAAATCATGGAACTTATTTAAGATTTAATAATTTCTTTCATTATCAAATTTTTTCCTAAAATAAAGAATATTGCTCTAGAAAAAAATGAGCTTAAACTCGTTAATTAGTTGAATTTTTTTTTTATAGTTTGAAATGATAAATGTTGGTTAAAATTCCAATATGACATTCAGCATTTTTTTCTTAGCTTGTCAGCTTCATTTATAGCTTTGAACACCCCTATATATTCCTCAAATGAAACTAGGGTGATTAAATTATAGACATATAGCATTAGTGTCAAGAATGTGCTTTTTAAAGGTTCTGAATTTCAATTCTACCTCCTAAATTTGTATGTGAAATTTCACAATTTTTTAGAATGTGTTATAGTTGTATAGTATTTGATTATTTATTGTTTTACATTAGAATATTTCTATACTACAAAATAGTGTGGGAGGGGGAGGTTTAAATAGTGAAGTGTTCTTCTTTATAATTTAAAAATTGTAAATCTCTATGATTCTATGAACAGTAAAAACCTTGTTAAAACTGCATAAAACTCATTTTTTTCTCATCATTTATCTGTAAGGCATCATCTTAAGTAAGCTAATCCTTTAAATAATTTGTAGTATGCACATATCTTAAAAAATATCTTAGTAAAAGTACTGAAATATATGTATTACAATACTTTTAATTAATTAAATTTTAATATTTTTTCGACATTTTAATTAATTTTTTATGAAATACAATTTGTGTTTATAGAATATTTTATACGTATGAGCAAATGAAATTATCATTGTAACATCGATATTCTAGATGTATTTTTTCAAAAAGCATTATACAGTTCAAATTATTTAAAAATGTTATTTTTTATTATTGTTATTATTTTTTTTTTTATTGCTTGTGACATTGATTAAGGCTACTATTTAATAATTTTTAAGATAAATGAATATATGGTTGTGTGTCATAAAGTAAATAGTTTGAATCGTATTTATAATTATATCATCTATAATAACTAATTTAATCTAGAACTAAGATTAATTTTAAAAAAAAAATTCAACGTATAATTGATCTTAATTGTTATTTTGTTTAACTGCCTTAACTTCAACCGGTTAACAATAAAATCAATATCAATATACATGCTATAAAACAAAAGTCTGACATCTAAAATGAGTTCTGTTCTGTTCTATGTTTTAATTTTTTTTTCTTGTAATAATTATTAGCCTTGTGATATGAATTTTTTTTTTTATCTAAAATAAAAACTTGAAAAACCCGAGATATCAATTTTATAAATATATTTTGAAACCAAATTTTGTTATTAAAATATTAAATGCAATGCTCCAGATGTCAGATCTTCATGTTATACTCTATCATTTTATCAACATTTGTTGACTTACTTTTCTTTTTCACACACATCTATGTATTGTTATATGTATGTATATATTTTGTTCCATAGTTTATTGTGTTTTTCTATTTTTTTCATATATTTTAGAATATTATAATGTAGGTAAGTACACCAAAATTTGTATATATTTATAAAATACCAATTTTATATTACTTATTATGTGTCACATTTTTATAATTTTGTTTATTTATGATCTCTAAAACATTAATTTTACCATTAAAAAAAATAAAACAAATGTATTTATTATTTGAACATAGTTTATAATAAAGTTATACAAAAAAAAACTATGCCAAATATGTGATTCTTTTATGAAAATATATCAATTAAATTTTATACTTTTAAAAACAATTATACTGTGTGTTTTATTGTTGGCCAATTGTGTTGATCTCTAGGTTTTGGGACAGAAGAAAAATAAATTAATAACCGACCAAGTCCATATCACATTGAAATGGTGTACGAAGCAAAGGATATGTATCACCACAAACTATTGTGATGTAAAGCACGCAAACCAAATATTAGAATAAGCTACATTATTACTTGACAATGACCAGTTCGGTTTTAGGAAGGATAAAGGAACACGTGAAGCTATCATAGCTCTGAGACAAGTTCTAGAAAGGAGAATTGACGTGAACAAAGCAACGTTTATAGCATTTGTAGACCTGGAAAAAGCGTTCGACAAAATAGACGAAACTCTTATTTAACATTTTAAGGGAAGCCGGAATTGATTGGAAAGAAAGGCGCCTAATATTGAACTTGTATAAAGGTCAAACCACTGAAATAGATGTAAATGGAAGCAAGAGACAAGCGAAAATTCGTCAAGGAGTAAGGCAAGAATGCCCTCTGTCTCCATAATTGTTTAATTTGCTTATTGAACTTGCAATAGATAAAATGAAAGAATACACTACAGGAATATCGATAAATGGGAAACAGTTTCACTCCATCCGCTTTGCAGATGATATAGCTCTCCTAGCTGACAGCAAAGAAGAAATGAGTATGATGCTGCATATACTTGAATCATCTCTAGATAACGAAGTTATATCTACGAAGGAAATAAGAAGACGAATTACATTAGCAAAATACGCTTTTGAGAAAAAAAGGACACTTCTTACCAATAAACATCTAAGTATAAGATCAAGAAAGAAATTCGTAAAAACATACGTTTGGAGTATATTACTATATGGTTGTGAATCTTGGACAATAGGAAAGTATGAAAAAAATAGACTAGAGGCTATGGAAATGTGGATGTGGAGGAAAATGACTAGAACAAGCTGGATAGAACATAAGACGAATGAAGAAGTGCTGAACGAGATAAATGAAGAAAGAACAATAATGAAAAGAACAATAAAGCTAATTGGACATCTACTTAGAAATAATGAGTTTATTACTATCATTGTGGAAGGAAAAATAGAGGGAAAAAGATCCTTTGAAGAAATCTTCAGACGAATGGGTGTTACCTCTTACCAAAATCTCAAGAGGACAGCATCTGACAGACATGTATGACTAAAACAACAAGGCTTAGCCTTTAGAAGCTGATGATGAGCGTAAACCTATACATTTAATTGTATCAGGTATATAATACAGACGGTCGTGTTTACATTTATTTTTATTCCGTCCCAAAAGCCAAAGATCAGTCTAATTGGGTTGATCTCTAGATTTTCTCAAGGAAATTATCAATGTGCAAAAGTCGGCCATATTCATCTTTGGTTTTTTAAACTTGTTCATACTTGCGCTGCATTGTCTTATTCGTCGGCGGTGGTCGACTGTTCGGTAATATTATCCGGGATTAACAGTTGGGATACTGGATAATCGTGGAATTCGATACACGTTAAACTGCAGACGAAAAATATGGAGAATTTCATGAAGTCTTCGGCGTACCAAGGCCCGAATTCGGCTTTATTCTGGGGTTTCCGGCCTCTGTAAACAGGCAACGGAAATGGCGTGGTTTTCCCGACGATGCGACGACACATTGCCCTGGATACGTATGTCGGGTTTCCACACCTGTTATTATTTGATTCACTTTATTAAACTTAAATGTATTCAAATGCCGACGAAAGTCAAATGCCAAACGCCAAAACCGCAAGTCATTATAACATAATATGTCATGTATAATATTATTATATACTATATAGTACACTATTATAATATGTCAGTGGCCAGTGCGCTTATGAAGTAAGCATTTTTGTATCTAGTTACTTATCAATCTAAATAAATGAAAAATAAGTTATCCGAGATAAATAATTAAAATTAATTGGTAAAAATTTTACCATATTAAGTTTAGAGGAGGGGGGGGGGCTATAACATATATAGCCGAACATATTTCAGCCGACCGTATTTCTAAGCCAAACATGAGATTGTCAGAAAATATTTTCGTAGATAGTATTTCGGCCAAAAATAAAACAGCCGAACGTATTTCAGCCGAATCGCTTTGGAAGTTGGAATCTGTATTAGGAGTAGGTATACAAATGCATCGATTTCTGGTTGAGAGTTTCCAATTAATTTATTTCACCTCCGTATCATTATTGTCCTAGCGTAATTTTTTTATTATTATTGTATATACGCCACATATAGTTCATTGCGATTTGTTTTTTACGACTGAGTACGCTTGAATACATAGGTTTATTTTCTTTTATTATATCTTGTTTGAGAACATTTTAAAATACTTCCCCCCTCTCCCCACCATGGCATAACAGTCCTAACCAATATATAATTACAATAGTAATATAAGTAATAATTAGATACGTGGACTTACTTTAAGTTGACGTCACAAGCTTTTGTGCTTAGATTCCGGAGTACGAAGTTATTACTGCTGAAACAATAACAGATTAAAATATTTATTTTAGATAACTCGATTTCACATGGTCCTTTATTTTCATATGCCTACTACATTTTCATGTATCTATTATCTATGTATGAAAAATATAAAATTGTGGAGTAGACTTCATATAGCATGCACATCAAACAAATTTCGATATATTATTTTATTAAACGTTGTTAGAGTTGTATACGTTTTTTTAAAAAAAAATAGGACGGGCTGTTATCATGCGTATTAGAACATCCAAATATATTAGAAATTAACGGTTCACCAAAAGACTAAATTTAAAAAAGTCCAAATGTCGACATATATCATGTCAATATTTTCATTTGGGAACATGAAAATCTGTAAATATTTAATAAAATAATAATATTACAGACACTTACGTTGGCATGATCGTTTTTCGGAAAATAGTCTGAAGATTTGTTCGGGTCAACATTTTTGAAAACATCTTCGTGTTATGATATATTTTACAACGAAATTATATTGAGGTATATCTATTATTTAATGTAAAAAATAAATATTAGAATATATAATTATTAAAATATATCTATTTAATATAAAAGTTGTTTTTTTTTCGTTGTTGTTGCCCAGTGACGTAGATTATCCGATAATTCAATTTAAAAAACTAACTTAAGCATGAAATATGCAAAAAATTAAGTTTAATAAAGAAAAATATTAAATACCTAATTGTGTGGATACAGTAATCGGATTAAGATAGGTGTGCAACTAAATAACATTACCTACATTATTTTGAGATACATAAAAAAATATATATATTTTGTTTTTTACTATTTGCATACATATGTATAAAATTAGGTTTTGATTTTACTGACCTCGTCTTATTTTATTAGGAAATCATCTGTGGCTCAATGGACGTACAGTCAAGTCCATTATTGAGTGAATATTTATTAGAGTAAGATTTTGATTACTTATTGTGTCCACTATAGAAAATAAATGCTAAATAACTGATTCAGTACATTATTGGAAACAAAATATTATATTTTTATAGAAACTACTCTCGCTGGAGGAGAGAAGTAACTGGGGAAAGTTCAAAAGTTAAGGAGATTAGGCTGTCTTTTCGTTGAGCTCTTTGTAAGGGAAATGAAAGACTTAAGGCAATTATAAAGAATTGTTAAATCTAAAAAATGAAAAAAATAATAACAATCGAGTCAAAAAAAATAGATATTCTTTGCATTTAATAATAATTGGTAGGCATACATACGAAATTACATACGAATGTACGAATATTCTTGAAGTTCTATATGTATAGGTTATTAACGAAATTTGTTCGTATAGGTACATGCTCAGTCTATTAAAATGATAGTGATGACTATAACTGCACTGCGGTGAGGAAACTCGAATTTGAGAGTAAAATATTCGAAATGACGGTAATTTTTGCAATTAACTAGTTATAGATTTTAAGTTCGGTTAAACATTTAATTGTTTTAGATTCTGAGTGCAGCGGAAAAGCTATTATCGTTGTTTTGCTAAGGTGTTTTTTTCTCGGAAAACACTCTATCGCGGTTAATAAAAATACTTCGATTTTTTCACATTGTGTATTTTAAAAGATGCGGATTGTTTGCTCAGTGGTACTTTATGAGCAAACGATTTTTCGAGACTCCCATATGTTTTTCTAAAATATTAAAAACACACGAAAATAAACCATTATATCAGGTAGATTATGAGTTATGACTATATAAGATAAAAACATAACTAATTCTATATGTAGGTATCTAGTGCCTTCGCAGTTTATCAAGATCCGCTCAGAATAGTTTTTTGATTATACTAATGTACACGTATTAAATAGTTTAGGTTTTCATTTGTTTTTATACCTACTTTATAATGATATAATGTATACTGTTAGAACCTATTGACAATTTGTATGTGCATAAATTATATATTTATGTAAACATGTTTTACGTTTTAAATAAAAATATAATTATATGTATATGCAAATTTAAATATATCAACAAATAAAACACCAAACTAAAAAAACAAAAATGTATACTACATATAAAATATAATTATAAAAATAAGGTATAGGGCCATAGGCGTCCGCATCCAACTATCCCCACGTGTATAAGCCATAATATAAGAATAGTATAAAAGTTTAGTCATCCTACGTAAACGTAAACAACGTAAACAATTCCCTTATCGAGGCGTAAAAAATCGTATAGTTATAGAAGTACAATACCTATAATCATTAAAATATAATTTTTAAGTATAGGTTCGTATACAATAGGATAATAGGTAATAGTGTTATTGAAGAAAAGCTAGTTAAATATTTAAAAGAAGTATAATTGGACAATTTTTCTTGTGTTATTTTAATGATTTTATTATTTGGGTTTTTGCCAAATTGAAATAATTTTGATGGGTACTTCTTATCATACACAGTGACACTAGTATTATTAATACCCGATTTATAAAAAATGAGTTAATTAATTTATAATTAATTACCCATTATGCATAGGTTATCGGCTGAATTATAAGAACTTGTGTATTCAAACTGTTTAAATATATTATAATTGTTGATTATTATACATGAATGCATATAAATATTTAAAGTATAGTATTAAGTCACTAATGGGAAGCACAGTGAACTGCAGCGAAGTCCAATCAAACCGTTGAAAACGAGAAGATATCGTGACCGGATACGTTAGAGATGATGGCGTGTGTTATAATTAGATTCTATACGAAGTTAACATGGATGTTACAGGCTAAAGGTCAGTCGAAAATTTTTGACACTTTTATTGTAACACCTGCAGTAACGCTATGGTCTCCATAGTAACAACAACATAATAATTAGACATAAAACATGTACATGATTCTATGTTTTTCCATTTAGCAGAGAAAATGGGCAATTTTTTATTAAATAATAGCATTATACGTATGATTTTAGATTCTGGTTTCTGAGTGTAGGTAATTACACCGAAAATAACGAAGAACCTATTTTAGTTCTAGTAAGATAGGCGATTATTTTGCCTCAGAGAACTGAACTCTTTCGGTTAGTGTCACGGTTCCGACCATAACAATCATAAAGTTTTTGAAATTCACTTAGAATCGTGTTTTAGAAATAAAAATACCGGTTGTTCATACACCTACTTGTTCTAAAAAAATAATAGGTACCGCTATTTCGCGTCTACTGACGAGAAATCACAGCAAAAATATTATGAATTATTAATGAATTTTCGCGAGAAAATAGTATAGCTTATGGTACTTGACCGGCTTCAGCACAATACAAATATTAAAACAATTGATTTAGAACCTGATTGAAATCTTTAAGTTAAAAAAGAATATTTATTTTACAGATATATAATATTTGTTTGGTTTGTGCCAAGTGACATAGAAATTATTCGAAACATGTTCGTATAATATTAATCGACTACAATTTTCTGTTTTCTAATATCTATACGTTTAATGTGCGTGTCTAAAATGGTAACATGTCACACCGGCAAAACCAAACCGGTCTATGAGAAAAAAAGTAATGCTTTGTTTTATAGTCTCAAATAAAATATTAAGAAATAAACAGCCATTTCAATGCGGAATATATGGCTAATTGTTATTGTAGAATATTTGAATTGACTATTTAAATAACCAATTTTTTTGTATTAGTCCAAAAACAAAATTACCGTCATATTTTTTACATCACCTACGTCAAACAAAAATTTGATTTTAACATGTATAC